GGGGGGGGGGGGGGGGCGCACTTGAGCGAAGTTTGGGTGCGGATGTGCCGCTGACTCCTTTAAACCCTGAACATGTTTAAGACAAAATGATCCGTTCTTTTCGCGTTTTCGTGACCCAGTCTCCTACTCGTCAGTTCTCTTTGTCGTCACGCAACGGTCCTCCAGTTTTGGGGGAAGACATAAACACGATAGAAGCTCTTCAAGCCCTAGGAGTGATCAGCGTCAAATTTCTCCTTGTAATATCAATGCATTATAAAACAAAGTGGTCATGAGAATTTAGGACATGATCACACAAGACGAATCCAATTGATACTTCAAGAAATTCTCCCCACTACTTCTATTGAAAACGTATAGGGATAACAAATGAGAATTTGAATTTTGATTCTAGGGTTTAAGGGGTTGAGGAGTAGTCTCCCTAATCCGCTCTGGGATAACATGGAAAGAGAGTGTAGGTGGAAGCTATTCTGCCCTCTCTGGATATTTGTATAAGTGTTTATGGACCCATGGGATCGCAGGTTCACCAAACCTAACCAGTCGTTTATGATACACATTTTAATATTATTTGACTCTTTGCATTAACATGATACACTTACTACATTTACTAAAACATGTATGACTTTTTCCTTTGAGTGAGTCAAAACGTTACATCCTAGAAGGGGAAAATTTGACGTGCATTTATTATTTCTTGTAACAGCGTCGTCTGCAGCAATGTCTCTATCATTTTCAAAACCTTTTTGTTTTTGTGTTAACTATCATTTGGAAGTAATATTTCTTTTTCTGTTCCTTGTCGTTTATCTATTTCATCATTTTGTTTATCCTGCTCGTTACTATCATCACTGTCTCGATTCTGCTCCAGTTCCTTATCATCGTCCATCTTATTGTACGCCTCGATAAATTTCTCATCAATGAAGCTCTCCACCAAACCTTGGATCTCCCCTTTATCTGGGCATTCAAGTTCGTCAAGAATCCGCCGGATATCTTGTACAGCTACAGATGTGGATACACGATGCAGCTCCAAAGATGATTTGACGAGTAACGTGATATCCAGCGGCAACAGAGCGGCGCTGATTACAACGTGTGCCGCGAGCGTCCCCGCAATAGCCGCACTTCTGGCTACAGCAGTAGTATAGGGCGCACCGGTTACTCCTCTTTTTTGCGGAGGATTCTCATTAGAGTGCGGAGGAATACATTAACGCCAATGACGTCATAACCTTTTGTCTTGATCTCATGAATAAAATGCGCAGGAATCTCATTAACTTGCGGTGGAATCTCATTAAGTATATCCAGTTTGACGGGTTTATCAATGACGTCATGTGCTATTTTTAGATGGATGATGTCATGGTTGGTATAACCGGTTTGACAGGTTTTAGTTATTTTCGGAAGATGATGTCATATGTATTCCGGGGTACTATGATGTCATAGTTGTTTTGATTGGTTGACCGGAATTAGAAAGACGCTCATTGGCTGTCTCGTTTGACGAAGCATTCTGGTTGGTTACCGTATTTTTATTGTTTGAACGGCATAAAAGCCTGCTCACTGCCTTCCCGCATACTAATTTGGATTTCCTGCATACTAATTAAGTGTCGTCCTGCATACTAATTCGGTATAGGTTTACTAATGAGTGTTTCCCTACTACAATAGGAACAATAGGCTTGCCTAGACTTGCCCGGTAAGTAACTTAATTAAAAGGAAAATAAGAGCGATCACCTAGCAACGCGAGAAACAGCTTCCTATATCTTATTTAGCGCTAAAACTCGGATATATATAAACAAGACATACACAAAGGGGAGCTGAAAACGCTTTATTTCAAGTTTGTCTGACTATTACAGAACTGTTTTCTCCTTTCTATCTCGAGGAAATGAAAAACTGTTGAAGTCTCAACGTTTCACGCGTC